ACACACACACTGATTTTTTTTCTTGTAAAAAAATTACACACCACTACACTATAAACCATGCAAATCCCAAATGGACATTAATTCAAGCAGAATTTCAGTCTCCCTTGGCAGGAACAAACAAGGAACAGAGGCCGTAAATAACCGGAACATGAAGGAATCACCAGGTTCAACAAAAAAAATAATAAATAACTCGGCCACTTTCACAGAGACCCTTAGCCCACTGCTTACTGTGCTTCCAGAGTCTGCACGGTCTCAGGGCAGAATCTGTGGGAGAGCTCCAACCGACTTGGCATCAACTGCCCCGTCGTCCTCAGCCCCTAAATTAGCCTGGAAATCCCTACCCTGCTGCCACTCAAAGACCATAAAACCCAGGCAGATGGCTGTTGATATCTCATTATAATCATTATAAAGCAGCCAGTTAGGATTACCCAGTAGAGCTAATGTACGGCTTCGGAAAGAAAAGGAAAATTTTCACACAATCAAATAAAACCAGGATGGAAGAACTGTGACATCAAGCCTGAGTTTCTTTCTGAATGAAAGGAAGGTAGGATAGAATATTAGAGAAAGAAACATGTGATCGTGGACACACACACGAACATGCACATGAACACACACACAGGGTGGGGTGTTCAGAAACATTAGTACAATAATTATGTCTCTCTTGCCTAAACTGCAAATTGCTACAAGGAAGACATTTTGTCTTCTTTATAACTCTAGCTCCAAACAGTACACTGTAAATGAATGACGTTACAGCCATCATCCAGGCACCCGAGAAAGACCTTTCAGAGGAAGGGATGCACAAGCACATCGTAGAAGGATCTTCTTCCAGTCTTTGGAATATATCAAGGCAACTCCTGGTCCTCTGAACTAGTCTCTCTGGGCATTAACCTGAGGCAACAAAACCAGACTCCTCTCCAAGGATGCTATGGCTTACAGCCAATCCCACATGCGGCTGTTTTCCATATCGCAGGGAATGCCCACCTGCTCTTCTGCCACAGGTGGTTCCCACACTTGTTCAGAACATGGGATGTTTTTCCCCAGTGCTGGGATTAAGCCCAAGGCCTTGTACATGCAACCACTGAGCCACACCCCTAGCAAGTGTAGAATAAATAACAGGAAGGGATCGCTTTTCCTGCTATAATGCTATTTGGGAGAAATGAACAGGTTTCACCATGAAAAAGACCCAGACTGTCATGGAGGGTATTTCTGAATGACCTTGGCATTCAGGTTTCCATTTCTGGCCACCTGACTGAGTTGGGAAGAGCTGAGGCCTTGTAATGCTTTTCCTGGAATGTACATCTCTGCTCTGGTTAGGTTAGGGTATGTCCAATATGACTGTTAGAGAAAGACAATAGGATCTGTGTGTAATCAATAAATTATTGCCTCCAGAGAAAGGCAGCAAGACAACCTGGCTTAAAGGGCTAGTTACCCAAAGTCAAAGCTGCAAGATCTGTATCCAAGTGAGGCTCTCTGTGCCTCCTCTAAGAGCCAGGATGAGATTCCACCCTAAATCAGAGAGTGATGGAGTCCCAGGAGCCATTCAAGAATGGGTAGGTCAAGACAGCCCTCTTCCAAGCCTCACAGTACAGGCTGTTCTAATCAGCCTGCTTGTGTCTGCATGTGCACATATGGGTGAAGACAGCAGTATGATAAAGAGGAACGCCTGAGAGCCAGGAGCCCAGCAGAGACGTAGTGAGTACTTCATCTTCAATGTCACATTCCATGGCAGAGGCTCGGCTAAAAGTACTCCCCAAAAGCCAGGGAAACTGGCTAATAAACAAGTATTCTAACAGGGCTGTTTGCTTCTAGATAAGAATCCTGGGCCAGCAAGATGGCTCAGCAGGTAAAGGTGCTTGCCACCAAGCCTGACAACATGAGTTCTATCCCTGAAACCTCTGAACTCCACACTTACACCATGGCATATGGGTGGGTCTACAAATACACACATATACACAAATAAATAAAAGCAACACACACACACATCTTCCCTTTGAACAAATGAAGTATATTTCCTTAAAGCACAGTTGGGCAAAAGATGCCTCTGAGGTTTAAGTTGCCCAGAATTGACTGCCTCCTTGAAAGATCTGCGCAGTGTGTTCTAGACCCCAGCTGAGCCACCCAGCTCCGCTTCCCCAACCCAGCCTGATATGCTGTCCCCTTTTCCACCAACACCACACCCAAAATGCCTGTGCCACAGCCAGTCAAATCTTGTTGAGCTCTGCCAAATATGAGCAGATAAAACCTTCTGGAAAAAGATAAACATTCCGAGAAAGAACCACAAGGCTGTGCCTCCCCTCATCTCAGGCAAACATTCAGAGGGCCAGAAGGGAAAGCTCATTGCTACGGCCAGTAGAGTACACAGTGACAGTTACCTGGAGGCCTGTCACAGGACTAAAGAAAAAGCCTGAAGTAACTAGAGCTCTCTGGGCAAATAGAAGGACTTCTCAAGCAAGGATAGCTAACCCCTGTAGCCCACAATGGGGTAGGGAAGGACAAGACAGCCAGCCAGCCAAAGATTAACAAAGCCCCACAGGAGAGAGGAGTCCCCACCACCACTAGTACTGCAAACAATACAGTCTGCCCCAGTCACACATGTTGCATAAGCACAATTCCAACCTCAGTCTAGTTAAAGTCCATTCAAATATCCCAACAAACCAAAAACAGATCTAAACAGCAACCTACTGACAGCCTCGTGTGGTCCCTTACCACCTCTAAGTTACCAGTTATCAACAGAAAAAAGATCCAAGCATCTGGCTGAGACCGCTGGACACCAGAAAGCAGAGGAAAGTTAGGGAAAGAAACTGTGACTAGTGAAAAGGCCACTGTGCTAACCCCCAGGGATGCTTTCTCCCACCAACCTCAAAACCACGGTCAAGAGCTTTGGTTGACACCTGCCTGGCAGAACAGATGGGTTTGACATCCTACACACACACACACTCACACACACACACACACACACACACAGAGAGAGAGAGAGAGAGAGAGAGAGAGAGTGTGTGTGTGTGTGTGTGTGTGTGTGTGTCCTGGATACACTTAAAGCTTTCGTAAGATTTCTCCTGGCCAAGAACTGCTCTCCAAAAGCTGCACCTAAGCATTCAAATCTAAGGGCTCAATTTAGAAAACAAAACAAAACCTTCTACCCTTGTTTCTGCGATTGTAGCCTCCGCAGAAGCCTAAACATCAGTCCCATGCAAGTCACATGAAGGTAGCCAGGCTAGAAGAGGCCCAGGCCTCTGACTCCACAGTCTAAAATGATCTCTCAGTAAGGTCCTCTTGAGCTGCCTATTTCAGGATCAATTTAGCAACCCACATTACCAAACCAAACTGAGTAGAACTATAGTTACCACAGTCCCTCATACTTCAGCAGGAAGAACTCTATACTCCAAACAACTATAAGCTTGGGTACTTGGTTTTCTCTTTGAGACAGAGTCTGATGCACGCTCAGTTTTCTACGGTGTTGGGAGCATGCTTTGGGCTTTGGGCATGCTAGACAAGCATTCCACCAGCTGAGCTATGTCCCTGGCTCTGGGGTACTTTACTAATTAATTTGTCTATTTTCTGCATAATGCTCAGGCAACATCTAAAAACAAAAGCAAGAGCCCCAGACATTCTGTAGTCTGGGTACTCGGTCTCTTCCTCCTCTTCTATGTTGTTCAGTGCCATCTCCATGGATATCTAAGAAATCGCCACTTCAAATCCTCAAACTGTATTGTTGATTACTTTCTATCTTACATGGAGTGCCTACTCTGTATACAATCTCAATTAGTCCTAAAACTAACCCTGTGAAGTAAGCATAAACAAGTCCACTTTATACAATAGGAAGAAACACTATAATATGCTTGAAGTCAGACACTTATCAGTACGACTAATGTTCTACTTCACTTTCCATGCGACTATTCCTGTTTCCCTGGTTAACAACCAAGTCCAAAGGAATTCAATTTTCTGCTCGTGTTTGGCCAATTCCAAGAGGTTCCTCCCAAACTTGATATGAAAATGTTGAAGTAATTATTGGAGACATTGAGCAACAGGCTATAGGAAGGCCTGTTCGGCCAAGGCTTTCCCAGAATGAGACAGAGCTATTGGCATGCAGCCTGCCTGTTTGTGGGGAGGTGGGATTCACTCTGAGTAACATTCTCTAAAACCTGGCACAACCTACCGGTTTGATCTACAGGTCTAAGCTCTACCCTGGGCCAGTCTCCCTAGTGCTAGGAACACAAACTCATCATATACTTCCCCCCTGCCTGGTGAAGGCCAGGGTTCAGACCAGCTGGGCACAAATAATGCCAGAAAAGTGCAGGCCCATTGATCCGGTTAATTTTGGCCCTCCAGTGCCCCTGGAGAGGGCCCTGCTCACTTGGGTTAACAGGAACCTTCAGGAGGAGGAACTTGGGGTGGGAGACAGAAGGCCCCTACGTTCAGAACCTACAAACAAGGACAAAATCCCACAACTGTAGCAACTTTCTAAAAGTTCATCCTCATTATTTAAACTCTTAGCTACAATGTTTCATTTACTCCTTCAAAACAACTCCCTAAATAGATATGGTTTATTATCTCCATTTCACAGAAAGAAACCTTAAAGAGAAGTTAAGTCGCAAGTCGCTTGCTCAAAGGCAGAGTGGAGGATAGTGGGGAAGGAGGTGGTTTGCTCACTGTCGGTCTTGTCTTCAAAAGGTAGAAGTTGCTATAGGTAGGGAAGGTTGCAGAGCAGCCTTTTCAGTCTACCCTAAACTGACCCCAACTTTAAACTTCCTGAGTCCTGGGCCAGAACAAGGGTGTCCCCAGGGCCTTGTCTGGTGCTGGGGCCAGAAGAGCCTGCGGGCTTCCCAACAGGGCCCCACCTCTCTTCGGGTCATCCCAAAGAGGATTAAGGCCGTCTTGGGGATTAAGCACTCTGATCAAAACCTGGTGGCTGGCAGTCCTGAAAGAGATCTTAGGATAATATCCCGGGAACCCTACGGAGGAAATCTGAGGCGTCCATGTCCTCGGATCCTAAGTCTTACCGAGCAGCGGGGACTCTTCAGGGCAAGCAGGCAGCGACAACAGTCCAGTGGCGGTGGGCACTGGCACCGAAGTCAAGTTGCTCTTCAGGCCGGGGCCAGAAGCTGCACCAGGGCTGAAGTCGGGACCCGGGCGAGGCTTCGGGGAGACGCCTAAAGGAGGCGGCGGCCGCGCGCCCCGGGGCCGGTGCTCTCCCGGGGGCTGCTTGCTGGCGGCGGCGCCGTTCGTGCCGCCCTGCAGTGGAGAGGAGACTCCGACCAACTGGGGCAGGCGGCTCAGATCGCGGCCGGAGAGGTAATAGACGAGGGTGACGCCGAGGTGCAGCGCGCAGACGGCCACGAGCAGGCGGCAGGCCCGCTGCAGGGTCGCGCCCGGCATCGCGGCGCTGCCGCCCAGGAACGGCTCACGAAACCTCATCTTCCCGCCGCGGCTTTAAGAGGGGGTGGGCTACGGCTGAGAGGACGGCCCGCCCGCAGGCCGCCCTCCAGGCGCTACCCGACCACAGGATCCGAGGAGGGGCGGGGTGGGGGAGGCTAGGACCTAGCGAGCACCGGCCGCCTGCGGCGGAAAGCCGACACCCCTGGCCGCGGAACTCCTGAGAGATCAGCGGGGAACCACGGGCGCGGACGAGCACGGGGCGGGGCCTCGGCCGGGGGCGAGGCTCAGCCGGGGGCGGGGCTCAGCCGGGGGCGGGGTCTCAACCCGGTTTTCAGAAGGCTCTTACGGAACTTGACGGGGCGGAGTCTAAGGGGTGGGGCCGCAAAGCGGGTCTTTTGAGAGGGGCGGGGCTTGAGGGACTAGGCTTGGAGGGGGGAACTGAAGAGCGGAACCTTCAGCCGGGTTTTTCTGGCAGCTAGGAGAGGGCGGGGCTTGGGGGCAGGCACTAAGGGGCGGGCCCTCAGGAGGTTGGGTTGCAGGGCGCCGGGACACTTGGGGACGAAACGTGGCGCTCCTCCAGCCCGACTGCAGCCTGGGGTTGAGGCGGCATCCCATGCCCAGCGGCGCTCGGCTTTTCTTCCTAGAGTTCACCGTGGAGCTTAAGTCTCTCTAAACCGTGCCTTCTGGTTCAGCGAGCTGCTCACCACTTCCTGGTTACCTAATGACTCGGATATGGGACTGGGACAGCAGCTAGTGAGGCCAAGAGGACTGGTGGGTAGCCTTGTGGTAGTGAGAAACTGGAGTGAAGAAAGGTCGTCTAGGAAACCGGCTTCGACGCCCCGCGAGGCCAGCAGACGGATTCTCTGGGGCGTTCCACAGATTCTCTTAACCCTAGCTGAGTCCGTCTGCCTATGAGGGGGCTAACAAGGAGGAGCGGCTTATTGAGAATTCTACTAGGGAAGTGACCAACTTGCTTTACTCTCTTCCTCACACTTTAGTGTTTGCCGGATTGGGGAACCTCAGGAGCCCGCCCAACTTGGTTCTAGTTGCAACAGGGCTTCTAGTGCATGCCACATGGAGAAGACACATGCTTGTGGGGATGGGGCTGGCAGAAAACTGCATCAATTCCTAAGCCTGCTTACAGAACAGCCCGTTGTACACTGCGCTGGAACACAGTCCCCATCTGAGAGTACTGGAATCTAGGAGCGGTCATGCACACCTGTAATCCCAGACTCTGGTTGCAGAGGCAGGAAGAGTTTGGAGCCAGACCGGACTACATAGTAAACAAAGATTTTTGTTGATTTGAAGGGAGTGGGGGGAGCTGAAATGCCAGGGAGACTTAAGCACTTGAAACCTTGACCCCGAGGCCTCTGACCCATTTATCCTTGAATGTGGTGAGAACCTTAGATGGGAAATGTTAACTAATTCTAGCTACTCCTGTATTCGGAGAGTTTATTGTTAACCAGTATACGCTATGAAATAGGGGTTAACTGTCTTCGATTCATTGATGAGAAAACAGGCTGAGTAGTGTGACATTTGTTTGCAATCCTACAAAATGTACTTCCTATCAGTTGACTTCCTAACTGCTCCTCCTCATCTCCGTTTGTTGATGAGGTCCTGAGGCTGTGGTCCCTGTGGCTCTTTTAGGTCTACACTTGTTCCTTAGGTGTGGCTCCATTATCTATAGGCTGATGACACCAAAACTTTCTGACTCCAGCCCACATCTCTTCCCTAACCCCTCACCTTCCAGTATCATCTGAGCCAAATGAGTCCCGCCCACAGTAACCTAACCCCTACACCTCACTTCCATTTTCATCCCACTCAGAGAGAGGGATCGTTGTTCTTCCAGTTCCCCAACACCAAAACCTGTTCTGTTCAACCTGCTTGTGGTTTGTTTTGTTTTGAGATTAGGGTCTCTCTGCATAGCCCAGGATGGTCTCAAACTTGGCATCTTCCTGCCTCAGCCTCACAAATCTGACATTATCACAACCAGGAATATCTGTAAGCCTCTCTCTCTCTCTCTCTCTCTCTCTCTCTCCTTCTTTTTTTCTTTCTTTTCAACAGGAGCCCACACTATAGCCTAGGTTAGCTTAAAACTTTCTATGAAACCTAAGCTGGCCTTGAACTCTCATAACAATCCTTCTACTTCAACCTCCCAAGTGCTCGGATTGATTGTAGGTGTGTGTGTGTGTGTGTGTGTGTTCAAACATAACACAGGTGTTTGGAGTTCACAGTACAACTTTCAGAAGTCAGTTCTTCCACTGTGGGATCTGAGGATTGAACTCAGATCATTGGGTTTGGATGGAAAGCACATTTACCTGCTGAGCCACTTTGTTGGTCCCCAAAAGATCACTTCTTAGAGAATTATTTTGATTAGCATAAATTTCAAAGCTAGGCAGGGTCACACAGGCCCACCGTAATCCTAGCAACACTTAAAAGGTGAAGACAGGAGAATCTTGAGGTCAGTCAAAGATAGGCATATAGATATATAGATATATATAAAACTCTGTCTCAAAATTAGAAAAAAAAGTAATTTAAACTTAGGCATGGTGGCATGCACCTGTAATCTCAGAATTTGGGAGGCGTAAGCAGGAGGACCATCCTTAAATAAATAGCAAGTTCTTGTCTGGGCCTAGGCTACAGAAGACCCTGTCTCAAAATGAACACAAAAGTTACTGGGCAGTCTAAACTTAAAACGAAAGGAGGAAAGAAAGAGACATCTTGATGGATGTAAGACGAGCAAGAATTTTACAGGCATCTTTAATGTACCAGTTTTTCCAGTAGCTACAAATTATTTTAGCTTCTTCTCACATGCAAAATATATAGTATTTCATATATATAAGGTTCCAAGTCCTGTCCTTCACTCCACCCCCACCCCCAAAGTTCATTCAAGTGCAAAATGTCATCATCTGAACAAGTTCCGGGTACACTCCCTCAAGTTCAGGAACCTATGAATTATAAAATAAATCATCTTCCTCTTCCCCTTCACACCCTTCTGAGAATTTAGTCTAGAAGTCACTAGAGTTAAACAAGGTAAATAGTCCAGATGGCAAGAACAGGCTGGCAAAATCCAACCAGGATGAGGAGGACTGAGCTGGGTAAGGAGGACAGCAGCCTGACACAATGCAAATGCCCAAGCAGAGTAAACGGGGCACCCGCAGCATCTCAGCACCCTGTGTGTGTGTGGGGGGGGGGTATGTATGTAGCATGTGGTTAAAAAAAAAAAGCTTTTATAAAGTAGAGCAATCCAAATCAGGGTGTATTGTCCAAGGGAGGAAAGGATATCGTTAAATACAGGTAGACAGTTTTACAAAGAAGCTCCATTTATGTAGATAAGGAAAGTTACTCAAGTCTCCAACTGTATGCCAATGGGGGGTAAGTGCAAAGAGCAAAAAGTAAAACAAATCTTTCAATACTTTCTTGGAATGAGAGAAACTGATATGAATTCATGACTTTCCATTTAGAGATACTACTTTTGTGTCGCTGGTGTTTGAAGCCCAGAACCTCACACATGCTAAGCAAAGGTTCTACCGGTGAGCTGCCCTTGCCATCCCTTTAAGTTCAAGATAGAGAATGAAATTGATAAGAGACATCAGCAAATGAATGTTGTAAGTTGTGTATAATATATTTAAATGTAGTTGCCGTGCTCAGGAGGTGAAGGCAGGAAGATTCAGAGTTTAACAGTTTGAATCGACTAGTGGATTTGTGGCCAGCCTGGGTTATATGAGACTCTATCTGGAGAAAAAAAATAAAATAAAGGAATATGAATACAGGGCTGGGATGTAGCTCAGTAGGTACAGGGCTTATCTAGTATCCTTGAAGCCCTAGGTTCCATCCTCAGAACTGAATAAATAACCCAGGCATGGGGCCAACACCTATAATAGCTGGGCATTGATGGCACATGCCTTGAATTCCAACATTCAGGAGAAAGAGGTAAGAGGATCTCTGTGAGTTCAGGGCTACACAGAAAAACCCTGTCTAAAAAAATAAAAACAAAACAGAAAACAGGACTGGAGAGATGGCTCAGTGGTTAAGAGCACTGGCTCTTCCAGAGGTCCTGAGTTCAATTCCCAGCCATCACATGGTGACTCACAACCATCTGCAATGGAGTCTGATGCCCTCTTCTGAAGAGAGCAATGGTGAATACATAAAAAAGAAAAGAAAAACAAAAAACAAACAAACAAACAAAAGAGGGGAGTGTCTGGAAGCAGAAATTTAACCAAAGTGATGAGTACATTTAGTCACCTGAAACCCTCCAATAAAAGGACCAGGTGTGTTTAGGAGACAAGCCTAACTCTGAAAGGCTAGAACAATTGCAAGATAAGACTGAAAACTCTTAAGCCAGAAAAGGAAGATGAATCATATCAAATTAAAGATGAAGATATGTAAAAAGATTCAGAAGTTAGTTCAAAATTCAAAGAGTACAGTACAAGATACACATCAAGTTAAAGGTTGACAGAGAGCTTATGATCAGCTGAAGAATGGAAATCGTGAGCCCATAGTTACAGGAACAAGCACGTGGAAGTCTGGTAAAGGACACAGATTGTTTCAAAGTACTGCTCCATGAAATACCAATAATTTCCAAGGGAAACAGAGCAATCCAAATGATAGATATTTTATGAAATGGCCACTTCCCATTGTCTTCCAAAATGTCAATCTCATAATAGAGAAGAAACTCTGGAAAACTATTTCCCATTGTAACTGAAGAAAAATAAGGAATGACAACTAAGTGTACCACATGACATGAGTGAATTCTCTGCTCAAGGATAGTATTGATATCCATAGTGAAACTGAGTGGGACTAAGGGAAGAATTGATAATCATATCAATGTTAATTTCATGATTTTATATATTTATAATTAATACATAATATATGACATATCACTATATTATTATGTTGAGGTTATATTAAAGATTTGGGGGTAATGGTGGGATACATTTTCTTCATTGCTATAGGCACTAGTAAGGTGCCTATGCTCCAAGAACCAACACACACCCATGCCCATTAATTAAGCTCAGCAGTCATAAAACAACAAAGACAGGAAAATAGGGAAGTAGAAGGGAACTTAGGGGGAGGGTCTGTGGGAGTGGGAGGGGCATGAGAGGGCAAAGAGACATGGAAATGACCAAAATCCATTATACACAAATCTGAAATTGTAAAAAATTTTAATTTCTTAAAAAGGATTTGGGGGTAATATGGATCATATCAAACTTACTCTCAAGCAGTTCACAATAATA